CAAAAAACGACAAGATGGCGACGGTACAGATCGAGGGAACCACGGTAAAAGACATTCTGCAAGAGGTACCAGTCCTGGAGCGGATTAAAGTAAATCCACTCCCAACGCCAGTGGAGCGAATGAAGACGGACGTGAAGACGTACCAGGAGGAAAATGCAGATTGGACACCAAAACAATGGATGAAAGCCAGGCAGAACATCCGCAGCAGCATCACGAAGTTACAAGGTCGGATGCAAGCGATGTTAGACCTTGGCACCGCGGAGCTACAAAGTTACCTAACCAAACTCAAGGAACTTTACAGCCGAAACACCCGCGCGATCTGGAAAGAGACCATCTTCACCTGCATAATCCGTGACAAGATGCCGACAACGAAGTTGGTGGAGGACGACATCGACGCAAGAAGAAAAGGCTACGAAAGCTATGGCCAGGTCATGGTAGAGGTACAACGCTTCTACGAAAAGATCAAAGAGGAAATTCCAGTACTCTACGCGACGATACAACTCGAGGAAACGGAGCAGGAAAAGGCAGCCATCGACAGGGACAAACTGGAGGAAGACATGAGTGACATGCGAAAACAATTTGGTCAGTTAAGCAACACACTCAACCAGACCCTGAGAGAGATGCAAAGCACGCCAACCACAAAAAAGGCGGCATCTCAAAGCGACTCAGAAGGGGAGGAAGACCCTTTGAAACGACGCACGAGGCAACGGACACGAGGGAATGTGGACGAAAGACGATCAAGGAGATCCCCCTCAGAAACGGGTTCATCTTTGGATGAACCATTGGCCAATGCCCGAGGATCACGATTGGAGTCGCAAAGAAGGAGACAACCCCAAACCACGGGAGGAACAGCCGGAACCAACCAACAGCTGGACATGTCCAATTTGGTCCAGGTACTGTCTGGGGAGCACGCAACGCTCGCAGTGAAAGAAAAGCTGCCAGTGTTCGACGGCAAACCTGGTAATTGGGACTCCTTCTGGCAGCAATTTACTGCCCTGGTGGATCGGAACCCGAGGATACCGACCATCATAAAGTTCAACAGACTTTCCCTGTCTTTGGCAGGGCCGCCCCTCCAAGCCCTACAAAAATTTAGGTTTGAG